ACACACACACACACACAAAGTCACCCATGTCACGAGGTTTGCTTGTCAGCAGCCTGAGGTGCAGTTTCCCAGAAACCCCTGCACCTATCTCCTTGAAACTGGCAGGCTTCATGGCCTCGGCAGGGACCACCATCCCTGCAAGTTTCATCTGAATCAGGCAAGAAATGACAGTTACAGGCAGTTCTGTGCTTCACTATTATAGCCGGTGGGCGAAATGTCAAAACAGCAAGAGTTTCGACTACATGAAATAGAACAGCGGTTTCAAAATGAAACAAAACTTTAAATGAAACACTGTCCTCTTGAAACAGAATGGTGCTGTTTTGCACCTGTTAAGCCCTACTAATTAGCTTAATTACAACCTATTTTCTTCAAATATAGAATATGCAAAAATCTGAAGCCATTAAACTCATCCCCATTTAGGATAAAGAAAGCAAGAATACAGATACTAAACCCTCACCCCATGTCTAATACTTTTCAAATAATTCAATATTTTATTTGATGTGCTGTTTAAATTGTCAATGAATTAATTCTGTATCCAAAGAGGAAATGCTGCAAGTCTGTGGGACAAGACAGTATTTTTTATTAAGAAGAGTCTTAATCTCTGCTTTAAGTGCAAAACAGAACAACCTTAACCAACGTAAAGATTGTAATGCTGTACAACTGATCATTACACAACTTGTGAATAATTAACAAGTCATTGAGCAAACTTTTACATATACACAGTGTCACAAAAAAAACTAGTGGGAATTTGTGGTTCTATGTCACCAATTAAGTGCTGACTAAACCAAGCGTGCACAATAAAAAGCAAAACAAGCAAGAGTAATTACTGGCAATGACAGTGCAGTTAGTGCTTCTTTTGGGAAGTAAATATTTACTTTGATGCTACCTATAAAAAACAGATAATTCCCATTCATCTCCACTGCTTATGGCATTGCGCTACCTTCCCCATTACTCACCTGTTAAGATGACATGATAGATTCGAAGTTACCCAGTAATAATTTAGGAAGATTGTATGTTGACCTTGTAAGTGGGATGCTTATTATGTCAAACATTAGTTTACGTTAAAATGGGACTGTTTTGAAAAAGCAAAACAAAAAGCCACACAAGCTGGAAAAGAAAGGAAAGGATGGTTCCAGATGCCACTTCTTAGCAAACACTTAAGAACTGCAAAGAGACAAAGTCAGGACAGGAAAAGATGTAGAAACAGAAGAGATCAAAAGAACCATTAGAAAAGGGGCTCTCTCAGGAGGTGTTTGAGGGAAACCACACAAGCATGGGGACCCCCTGGGGGTGTCTGAAGTATTAGGCCTGCCTATGTTACTTCTGTGACGATAATATAGCCAAACATGTAGATGGCTTGTTCTTTTAAAATCCATTTTCTCTAAATGCCTTCTTTCTACTGTTACTAAAATGTTTATTTTTCTTAAAGGGTTGTTTTCTCACTCTATGCTGGTAATCACAGACTGCTGAAGGGAAGAACTGCTGCTCTCAGAACCCAGTTCGATCTGCTGTGCACGTACAATCGGTTTTCAGGTATTGTAACACAGTGCACATGGTTCAAAAGTGGGAGAACTCGCTGAGTTTGGCCCAAGGGGTGGGGAAAGGCATGAGGCCTGACACCTGAGGGATGCATTTGAAGGCAGAAAGGATCTCTACACAGCTAGTTCTGGAAATCAAAAGTAGGTAGCTATAGAAATGAAGCAAAATTCCTCTGAAAAACTTACAAAGACATCCATTGATAAATTCATTCTTGGGAGTCTTGGTTTGCTAAGTAGTTTTATGAGAATAAGATGTGGAACATTTGCAAGGGATCATGTAAAAATCTACCCCAATTACCTCAAATGTTAGGGGAAAAAGCCATAAGGAATAGCATTTCAATTTGCCACCAAACATATTTAAGTATTTTTTCACAAGTCCAAGCCATTGCATATTGCATTTGACTGGTTAATCCATTTCTGTTAAAGAGGTGCACAAAATTACAAAACAAAATGTGCCAATAACTTAATAGTTTATTAGTCAGTCAACAATATTACAAATATTTAAAAATTACTTAATATAAATAGTTGGCAGCAAACTATTCCATTACAGAGTTAAATTACCAGTACAACAGACAGACTGGAGATTTAGACACCTGGAAGATAACAGTAAAACAAACTAAAATATTTAACAAAAAAATTTTAAGCTGAAGGCGATTACCTAGTGTCCATAAAAGCATGGGTTCTCTTTTTATTTAGAAAAAAATAAAAAACTGCTTTAACACCCCATTAGGAATACAAAATAAAATCAACTGAAAATATTAATTTGCATATCAAAGAACCATTTATAATTACAATCCAAACACTCCATAAACCACTTGTGCGATTCTATACAGAAACTCGGAATTAGAAACTAGTTGCTTTAATATTACAAAGATTTCAGCTCCAAAAATAATTCAACATAAAATAAACTTTAGCAATTAGCGTCATAAAATTATATATTTCCACATAAAAATACAAAATAATATTAATGACAAGAATATGAAAAATTATTCCAAGTATTTTACTACTATTAAAATAAAATAAAAACCAAAAAAACAAAATAGAAATATGCATGAAAAAAGTCTCTCCTTTTGTTAGCAAAACACTATCCAAAATAACTACAATCATTTACATCAGTACAAAGATTTCTGGATTTAAAAAATAGTTGCAATGACAAAAGGGGTATCTTTTCTGACAGTAAAAAATGACACTGTGGATAAAATCTGCAAAATATGCAATGAAAAAAATAAATTTGCATTAAAAAGGTTTACACTGTTATTTTTTTTTTTTTTATACAAACATTAGAAACAGTATTGCACATCACAACACAGAATCGAGGTTAGTCAGCCTTCCAAAATGTGTTATATTCAAGTTTTGTAGCATCTTTGAGGAGAGGCTTTGTGCAGCCAGATGCAACAGGGATAAAATATCAAGTGTTTTCCATACACAAATATATAAATGCTAAATGTTTCCTTCTTAACAAAAAGTGTGGATTTTTAAAGTTTTTTTTTCCTCCACAGTCATACTTGTGGGCAGCAATATGCACATCTGGGGAACAAAAGTGAAGTAGCTTTAAAAATACAAAAATACAATCAAAACTAACTAACAATCTTCTACAAAAATAGTAAAATAAATATGATCTGTAAAAAAAAAAAAATCAAATACAGTGTTCAACAGTTAGAAAATAAGAACTTAGATAAAAAAGGGGAGAAAAGAGAAAAAAAAAGGTGTTGTTGGGCATGATAGCCGTAACTTTAGTTGCTCCAGAAATGAAGTGACAAGTAAAATCAGACAGTTCAGTTCTTTTTACCCATGCCAAAAAAAGGTATCCCTGTTTTATTCCCCTACAATTGAAACAGTTCTATTTAAACAGGGAAGGGGATTTTTTAACATCTCCAATTATTTCAAATTTTGTACTATTTTCATATTAGTGTTCATTATTTAATATATTTAAAGGCTCTTCAATTTTAAATGTTAAGCAGAAAATATGAAAATAAAGTTTAAAAAAATCTGCAGAATTAAATTATATCTGAATAATTAACATTGCAAAACTACTGATTTCTTTTCTAAATTCCAAAAATTGAGGTATAGCAAAGGAGATGTCATCAGTCAAAAAAAGTGTGCCTTAAAATAGCTGACTGTTGGAAAAATCTCTCTCAGAGATATAAAAATAGTGCATAACAAATGTCAAAATGGATCAAGGTTTGGCAGGGTTAAGGTTAGAAAAGAATGCTCCAAAAAATCTGGAGGATCATGGTTAAGTAACAAATAGGGAACACTGACAAATAAATTAGTAAAAAGCTCTTCTTAAAACAGCATCAACTTTAAACATTAAAAACTTGAACCACAACCACAATAAAACAGCAGAGTTAGACATGAACCACATATTGTACAGTACAAAAAAGCACACCGTAGACAACCAATATAATATCAACACTTTGCTTACATGAAGGATTGTCCCAAGGGATTGCAAAAGCAACCCCTTGTAATTTCATCCCGAGTCAGGCTCGTAATTCTGCACTTTAACATTTATTATTATTGGGTGCTTGCTTAGACTGCAGAATAGTTTTTGTTCCATTAAAACATAGGGGCTAGTTGCATTAAAAATGCTCTGAGATAGACAAAAGCACTGCTAATGGTTTTCTATTAGTGTTTAGTACCAAGAAAAATGTATTAGATATTGCCTTTGTCCAAACTACATTTTTCCCTCCCACAAAATTGCAAGCAATGTCATTGCTAAGAACTCCTTCATAAAAATAAAAAAACACTAACCTATGACTGTCAAGTAGCTACTTTCATGCAACAGTGACCCCAGTTTGACAGAAGACCACAATGCACACAGGTCAAACATGTAAGCAAGTTTTAAGCCAGATTTCACTGTTGTCTTAAAGGTAAAATTTAGTTTGTTATGCAACTAGCCGTCTGTATATTACACCATCTCCATTTTGACTTTAATTAGATTAAATTACTAAAGCATTATGCATTCTTATAAGTATATTTTTTGTATGCATTTCTCATGGATTTCACATTTGGTGACTGGTTAGCAGTGTGCTGGCCATCTTTGGTTTGTAGAGGAAATCTTAACCATGAACAATCAAGGGGGCTTAAATTAATTTAAAAAAAATCTAGCTTTTTACTCAAACTTTTATCTATACTACATCACTCCACATGAATTAGAACCACACATCACAAAATTGCACAGGGATTACAATATTACATCCAGTCTGCATAAATCGAATTCCACTACTGACCAGGTCACAAAATGGCTGCACTTTCTAATCTAAAACTAATTTGCATATTGTACACATGTAGGACATTTTTTTTACTTCAGTCACAATAATGCATGCAAGTTTTTTTTTGTAACAAATTTTGTAAATTTGTTCATGCTACCTAGATTCAAGAGAGCCTTTTCTGAACATTTGCAATAACTCACCTCTTGTTAATTAATAATTCTAGTGCATGCATATGGTGTATACAGGTAAGTAAACATGCAGTTTTTTCACATTCTAAAACTATGGCAGTTTCGGCCATATTGTGCTGCCTGCATTTTCTCTGTAATGCAGTGTGTCTTAAACGTTTCAATCCCGTATTAATAGGTGGCATTACACATAACACCTATATAGCAGCAAAGCTAATACAGCTTGTGATTAAAAATGTTTAAAAATAGCTAATAAATCAGATTATCTTGAGGTATTATTTCTTGCAAGTCAAAATGGAGAGCAAAAAATCAACCCTAATTTTTAGTTTATGTATACACTGAAAATAGCAACAACAATAAAAATAAGCTTTTTGTAGCAGACATATTCCATCTTCACTATTTTGCTACCTTTGGTAAATTACTGGGGCAGATCTTGAAGTTAAAAACCCATGTTTAGAAATAAGTGCACGCTTCACCCACTAAATATAGCAGCAGACTGTGTGCCCCTACGAAAAAACATTCTCATATCTAGTTTTAACTTTACATATAAAAATAACTTGGAGAAAATACAAAAAAACATTTTATTTTTAACATGAAAATATCACAAAAATTAGTAAGCCTGAGATGTAGGGTTTTGGTGAAAAACAAGAGGCTTGTAGTGTTTTGGCTGCTGATAAAGATGCATGTATTGAGAGCTGGGGTGAAAAGCAGAAGAATGCACTTATTTCTTCTGCATGTCGGTATCTTCAAACACAGTAAGCCACATGCACCCTTCTTTCCTTATGTAGATGCTGGTTCACCATGCTTAGTTCCAGCGGAAGTGGATCTGACGTGGGCGGTCAGCCCCCTCTTTTACCAATGGCTTATGGAATTCACGTCCTGCACGGGAGTGGATGTTTGCCCAGCAAAACTCACAGTAATACTGCAGGCAAGTGACATTGGCACAGAAGAAAGGAGCAAACTTTCCACCACATCGTGCACCCTGGCATTCATCACACATCTGGTCATCCAACACATATGGCTTTACCTCCACCTGTTGCGGGGGGGAAAAATGCACACCAAGTCCAGTTAATGTCTAGAAATTTCTACTCAAAACATTAACGTTTTCCTTTGTGACGACTAAAAAAAGGGAAAGTATTAACATGAGGCCTGTTCACTGGGACTGTATTACTGGAACACAATTCCAGAATACTTATTTTGTTAAAAGGACACAAATGTTTTTTTATACACAAGGGGGGATTACACTCTTGCTTTTACACATGGAGAAGTGTAAATAAATCAGGAAGAGGAGATGGCAAAAAATTGTTAGTCATTCTCAAATTGCCCATTAACTTTTTCAATGGTGGCATAAAAAAATAAAAATATGCTATGAATATTTTTCAAAAACATATGTAATGTGTTTTTCAAACGGATCTCAGCCTGATCTTGAACTCTGTACACACAATTTTGCATGTGGTATTATTTGATCATGCAACTATGTAATTTGTCTGAAAAGTGAATTCAACCATGTACTTACATAACTGGCTTGCAAACATACCATTTTTATGGGCATCAGTGCTTGTATTTATTGTTTGGGTACATAAATTAGGAAGCATTTTTAAAATAAAGCAAGTCAAATTTTTAGTCGCCAACCTGGACAATGTGTTCATTTACCATTTCTGACAGCTGCTCTAACTGAATAGTTTTCCATCACTATGTAAAATAGTTATTTCTTTTTGTAAAATCACCTTTGCAACTCAGACTGCCAGATACACCTGTCTTATATAGTTTTTACCTCCCAAACTCATCTGATGGCCAGAGTGGAAAAGTGGCAAGAATTCATGATTAGTTTGTATTGGGTCTGTATAGCTGAACTGTAACAGATTTCCAGATGGGAAAAAGAAGATCAAATTAAAATACAAATAAGTTGACCTCATACATGAACATGGATTTTTTTTTTCTTGTCTTCCTCAAGATGCATTGATTGATGCTGGTTTGGCAAATCATGCTGCAGCTGCTGTTCATATTCATAAAATGATTGGTGTAAAAGGATTTTTTTATATACTGGTGTAATGTTATATTAAGCAATCATCTGATGCTGGCTGTTTTGGTGTTCAGAAATTACATACACTACTTTGAAACAGTAAATAACTTGCAAGGTTTTTTTTTAAGTTCTTTAGATGTATACACTGTAACAGAGACAGTTGTCGCTCTTTAGAACTGACCCGAGTGCTATTAACAAAAACAGTAATAGTCTTAGACACGTACGTATGCTTTTCAGTTTACAAGGACTAGGAAGTGAATCAGTATGGGTAAATGGTAAGATTCAAGAGGTTACTCAAATCAAACAAAGCCTCTGGAAAAATGGAAAATTAACACTAATGCAAGACAAAGAAAATGATACCTGGTAATATATGAGAAGGAAAATAAAAGAGATATTATGAAATTTGAAAAGGAAATGGCTAGAGGCATAAAAATCAAATAAAAACCAGTTATTTATAGTTATTAATACCCTGCTTCCCTAATATTGCTATCATGTTCTCAAAATGTACCTTCTTTGGTCCGGTCAGCATTAACTATGTCCATGTTGATGATATTTGGGTAGACAAAGTCTGTGGTTTTGAACTAATCAATAATTGGTATAGGCATTTTTTGTTCTTGTGCTATAAGAGTCTGTAAATATATCTCTGCTTCAATTTTACCCTGGATTTTCCTGTTTTTACCTTAATGAAAAAAAATTCTGTTATCAAGTGTTATCACTTGAACTGCATGTTGGAAGCACTACTATTTCCAGTTACTTATATGGCACCCAGACCTCCTTCAGAATTTCAGAGGATGTAAACATTATTAGCAGAACATTAATTTGCTTGAAGAAGTGGAGGCATAACTGGCTAGTACTATGTGCTGAGCAGTCTCCTCTTCCTCTCCAGCTTTGTTATAGTGCCTCCGGCCCCAAATCTGGGTCTAGAGCAGGGGTGGGCAAAATGTGGCCCAGGGGCCAGATGTGGCCTGCCAGACCATTCTATCCGGCCTGTGGGGCCTCTAAAAGATGTAGAAAATTAATATTAATCTGCCCTGGGCTGCCTGTCATGCGGCCCTTGATGGCTTGCTGAAACTCTGTAAGCAGCCCTCTGCCCAAAATAACTGCCCGCCCCTGGTCTAGAAGCTCCAGACATGGGGAGGGAAGACTAGTGGCAGTGGCACAGAAGCAACAGTTCAAGTTTGCTGCTGCTGAAGGAAAATGTCACCTTTTTTTGCTGCTAATGTGTTGAGAAAAGAAATGCCCCCTCCCCTTTTTTTGGGCAGCAAAAAGATGAGATGACATCTTTCTCCAGCAACAGAAATTACATTTCCCAGAGTGTCTTTTATTCACAAACATCATCTTTGGACCAGGATAAGTTGCGCCAGGATGTGCCTTGGGACCACTGATCTAGGTCTCAGGTGTCTGAGACTTTATTGGGGTACTTGTCCTGCAGGATTGGGCCCCTGCAATTCCTGAGGCTTCAGGGGATTGATCCTGCAGGACAGTGGCCTTGGGTGCTGCACCTTGATTCAAATCATGGATTAGGAAGTGGGAAAACCATGCAGGGGATTCCTACAGAGCACAGTTACAAGCAGGGGAACCCTGTGTATATTTCCCCACTTGCAGATGCATGCTCTAATTCAGGCACAGTGGCAAGACCGAGGCAGAAGTGTAGAGGTGCACATCCACAAGCAGGGGAACATCCCATTTAAGGTGGGTCACACAACAATTGCACAAAACTGACTATATTTGGTTGTGGCAATGGTTTTGGGCACTTGTCTCAGCCCCTTGTCATGCTCCATCTGGTTGCTTGCAACCTGTGCCACCATAAACATGTTTTAGAGTGGCACAAGGTTGACATCTGTTTACACCATCACTTGCCTACTCTGTCACACACTCTCTCTCCTAACCCTTGCCTTCTCCCTCCAATGCCACAACCATCGCCATGCTGTATCCACACTGCTAGAGCTGGAGCTGAAGGCTGCAGGGAAGGTGCAGCACAAGACAGAAGGACGGGACTGTGAGGCACTCAACTCCCCTTAGGTAGCACTCGGGGCTCATGTCCTCCCTAACCCACCTATCTTTACACTACTGCATCAAACTTCCTACTACTGTAATATTGTCATGCTAAGAACTTTGTGGAGAGGCTGCAGATAGAGATTCTGTTAGCCTTGGGGAATGTGCTATAGATTTTTTTTGGGCTGGATAACGGTAGAAGTAAGACTCAGAAGTAAACTGTTGTTCCCTGGATGAGCTTTTAATTTATTTTAAGACACCCACCTACTGGTTACGTTTTAACACTCCAGAAGTTTAAGATAAATCAGCTTTACTAGCAAGCATTCCTTGATACCTTAAAAATGCTGCAAACTAGCTCAGTTAACAGAATGTAATTAATTATACTAGACAGGCTACTGTTTTGATCCTGTTTGGGTATCCCTATCCTCTTGTAGTTGATTGGTATTGGGCAAATAAGTTTTATAAAAAAAGTCAGAGAAAGATATAAAGAAGGACAAAAGCCTCCCTTAGTTATAAATTCATTCACGTTACCGTCAAATATATACCCAATGAATAATAGGAGATATTGTGGACACATGATGATCTGTCCTAGACATCTCATTTCTGGTACCCTTATTCATCTTTCATTTTTTCTATTAAACATATTTTTAAAATGAAAACCACAGGAGATTTCTCCATGTGCACTTGCCATTTTAGCAAATTAGTATTACAGCTTCATTAAACTTTCATCTATCAACGTTACAGTGAAAATTTCAAAGCCGCAACCTAGAGAATATATATTTTCAAAAACATTTAACAACATGAAGACCTTACTGTTGGGAATAAAATTTCTTATATGAAAGTTAATGCCAAAAATGAATAATTCAACCACAACTATTACACGGGTGTTAATATAGCAAACAAGTGAGCAATATTTTGTGCATTTGACACTCTTCATAGAGAGTATGTACATGTAAAACTTATAAAGTAGATCTAAAACAACCTTAACCACAATTTCAATGTGGCACCAATTCAAATCATAAGGGTCTCATAGCTTTGAGAAATTGTGATATAGATTTAGTTTTATTACCTTCAGAAACTGGGTACACGTGTATCTGTCAGACAGTATGAGGACTTACTGCTTTTATTTATGCAGGTTAATATGGACAAATCTACAACTTCTCTGCATATCAATAGCTGAGATAAACTGCAGTTCAGAAGTTTTAATCACAACTGGGAACCCATTATGTGGTATTGTATAAATATATGGGAACATGAGTCATTTGCAATTATGGAACAAGTGAGAATCTAAAGACAACTTAAATCGCAGAATATTGTTTTCTTTTAGAAACATAAAGAAGAGATCTCTGACTGCAGGTCAAACTTCCCTTTACTTTCTGCATGATTTATAAATGTCACATTTCACTTTAAGCTATTTTTACAACAGCTTTGTAAGCAAAGCACTAGACTCATCAGAGTGATGTAGTATAATAAATATAGTTCTTTATTGCTTACAAATTGTTGCATTTAAAAGATGTCTGCTATTTTAGGCTTGAATGTTAAGTTTTCCAAAATATTAATAGGTTAAGATTAAATATATTTTTGTGGAAAAAAGATTCAATTTTAATATGATGTGTTCATTAAATATTCTATTTTAGTTTTTCCAAACCCAATACTATTATCCATTACCCTGCTAGGGCGTAACAATGAGAAAGTGAAACAGACTAGAAAACAAAAATACTAGTATATTTTCATTAGTTTAATCACAGTAAAATGTAAGAGTTTAGAGGAGAAATTTAGGTTTCATAATTATTCAGAGAATGAATAACCTGAAATATTTTGGGGGTGGGGGGTGTAGGGAAGGGGAGCATTTATGAAAGCTAAGAAGGATATTGAAGAAGTAGCAAACATGTAAGAATAAACAGGGATTTTCAAACATATGAATGGCATAAGGCCTACAAACAGAATCTTCTCTATGACTTAGAAATAAAAAGAACAAGTAAGGAAGATGTGAACATCATTGAGAAGCTCAGGGG